TTTTTTTTTTTTTGGCTTCTTTGTACTTTGTACTTCTTTGTACTCTGTTTGCAATCATGTCATATTTTCAAACTAAGGAAAAAAAAGTTATTGAAAGAAATGATGTAATGTTCCTTCTCTATTTTCTTCTCACTTCCTGTCATAGTCCATCTGAATACATCTCTCTCCCCCCAGGACGCTCCAGGCTTGGAACTCTGAAGAATAGGGACTCAGGTGGGACTCCTCTGGGTCCTCCCAGGCCCAGCTCATGAAGGTGCACAGACAAAAAGCCTGCCCCTCTGCTGGGTGCCAGAGGCGGAGGGGAGTTTGGCTGCATTCAGAAGCTGCTCACGGGTGACAGTTCCGAGTGCTCAAGGCAGAAGTGAGGCCCAAGTCCAGCTGTCAGCTTTCCCTCCTTGCCAAGTCCAGAGCAGCCCGGAGGAAGAGCAGAGGCCTGGGAGAGGCAAGCTCCTGAGTGGCCTGTGGCCCAGACCACTCCCAACTCATTTACCTACAGCCACAGTGTCTCCCCCAAGGTCCCCAGGGTGCTGTAGGGCACCTAGCTGGGTGTCTGTCTGGTCTGTGGGTGGGTAGCCAGAGCACAGGCTCTGCCCCCTTCCTTCCCAGCTGTGTGATCTCAGGTGTGTGGCTTTGCCTCTCTGAGCCTCAGTTTCCCCATCAATAATTGGATCGTAAGAATGACTCATCTGGCAGGATTGTCCTGATAAGTATCTATGAAAACATTGACTGACCATCAAGCCACGGCCTACAGAAGCCTCAACTAACATCTGAATTAGACCTTTTTGGTGGCAATGAACTAAAATCAAAATTAAGCCAGGTGCAGTGTTGCACATCTGTAATCCCAGCTCCTCGGGAGGCTGAGGCAGGAAATGACAAGTTTGAGGCCAGCCTCGGCCACTTGGTGAGATCCTGTCTTCAAAATAAAAAATTTTTAAAAAAAGGCTAAGGATGTAGCTTCGTGGTAAAGTGCCCCTGGGTTCAATCCCCAATATTAACAAAATAAAATTCAAACTAAGTTAAATAAAGTGAATTTATGGGTTCACTCAATTAGGAAGTTCAAGGTAGAGAAAGCGAGACTGAAGGCTCATACAGGGTGGCTGAGATGCCATTTCCCTCCCTGTTTCTTACTCCTCCCCC